ACATTAAATTGTAATTAGATGAATCAAAATGGATTCTATGTAGCTATTTTTCGAAAGTGCCGAAATTTTGGATTTTGTCAATTTTTAAATTTTGCGCAGGCGCATGTCGGAAATAAATCAATATTTTCAAAACGCAGTTTACGACATTTGAAAGCTTATGGAAAATGCTAATTTTCATGTCGAAAAACTGAATTTGTTAAATGATCAAACACTAAATTCTTCATAACTTTTATTACCTGAAAACCATGCTGGATATGAAGAGTTTTGATAATTTTTTTAGGAACATGTTCATTTATTGTACAGATGCTCACACGCAACATCAAAATTTTTTGCAATATCAAGGAATGACCAATCTACTTTCAGTAGCTCACTATACATTCTAGGAAAATCTGCTTTGCGAAAATTATAACATGTAAATGATTGTTTCAGGAATTTTTTGTTTGTAGAACAGATTTAAGTTAAAATTTCTAGAGGAGGATGATGTAGGTCTACAGCTACCATTGGGTCTGAAAACTTAGATATATCTAATTTAGTTCTGCTCATTACCAGATCTAAAACACGATTATTTTTGTTTAGAACAAAGTTATGTTCTAAGCCTAGAAATTTCATGAAGTTAATGAAGGATGCTATGAGTCGATAGATTGTAGTAAGTTATGTAATCTGCTATATTAAAATCACCCATAATTATCAAATCGCCACCGTCGCATAAGCAAGGAACATTACACAGTATCGCAAATATTTCTTTCTACAATTCTACTGATAATATAGGTGAGATATAAATATTAATGATAGAAACAGATGACTTTTCATTAAAAAAATTGACTTATTTATATCTACGTTAGGTACAATGTGAGGTATACAAGATACATCCATTTGACAAGATTTAAAGCTAGATTTTACAGCAAGCAAGACACCACTGCCCTTTGATGCATTAGTAATTTCAAAATTACGATCCTTTCTATAGAGAACATATTTTTTATTAACAATTTTATCAAAAATATCAGGGCTTAGCCAAGTTTCACTTAAAAAATGAACTTTGGTAGATTTCACAAAATTTTTCTTTTAAAAAAAAAATTAAAATTAAAAAATTAAAAACACTAAACATGACATGTTTGGAAGTACAACTTCTTTTTCAAATGTGACTAATTTACAATTCGGTGTCCAATATATATGCGAAGTAATTTAACCAAACAAAGTAATTAAGAAAATACATCAATAACATACCAAAATTAATAACCTGACTATTTAAAGTAACAATCAGATAAAAATAAGATAGTATCATTACCGGGATTATCTCACAGAAAACTAGGAAAGAGATTTAATAAAGGTGAGTTATTAATATCTAATTGATCATTTAGTAGGTTATCTGAATTTTTAAATCTATTTAATTCAAGTGTTTCTAAATGGTTTAGTTTAATGCCCTTATTTTCTGTATGTAAAATTTCAAAGTTGTCTGTAAAGGAATGATTTTCAGCTAAAATATGATTTGAGTAAGTAAAATAATTTTTGTTTTTTGTATAGCTATTATAATGTTCGAAATAGCGCTCTTTGAAAGTACGCCCTGTTTGGCCAATATACAATTTTGGACAACTACCAGAATTTAATTTTTATGCCCCCGATTTATTATTAGGATTAATTTTACCTTTATTGTTTTTAATATACTTCCCAAGCGTATTATTGGTTTTAAAAGTTACGTTAATATTTTGGTTTTTTAAATATGATGATACCTTTTTACTAGGAGCTCCTATATATGTAAGAGTCTTATATCTGCAATTTTGATCTTTAATTATGTGATAAACTTGTTGAATAGTTTAAAAAGTTTTTTCCCTAAAATGTTGTCTACTAACTTTGAATTAAAATTATTGTTTACTGCGATTTGTTTAATGATATTTAATTCTTTTGTGAAGTTCTCTTTGGTAAGGGGGGGTATTAACTAATCTATGGATCATACTGTTGTATGCTGCCAGCTTTTGTTTGTATGGATGAGATGAACTATTATTTATTGTAATATCAGTATGTGATGGCTTATGAAATATCCCAAAACTATGGCCTTTATTAATTTTAATAATATTTAAGTCTAAAAAATTAATTGAATTATCCTTCTGTTTCCATAATAAATTTAATATTAAATAAATATTAAAGCAAGACAGGGATAAGGGAAATACAGTAATTGCTATTAATAATATAGATTATATTGACAAAACTCTTTCATGTGTAGTCTTTTTAATTTTTTTTTTTTATTAATAAAAGTTTTGTTAAAAATCTACCAAATTTGGTTTTATTTATTTAAGCTAATATGGATTTTCATCAAGTAAAGGCCGAAACAACAAATAATTTTAAAGAAATGATATTATAATCAGCTGCCGAAATAGCATTGTAAAAATCACAATTTTTGGATCTTAGACCCCTGATATTTTGATAATAAATAAGTAAATCATTGGACTGGGATGACGAAGATATCAAACTATTATTTAATTCTAGTTGCTACTTGGTAAGAAATGTGCTGGACTTTAGGTATTCCAACTTTTTTTGTAAATAGGACACTTTTCAGCAATTCAGACCGCATGAGTTACGTCGACAATGTTTGCATTTTTACAATTATTACAACGGGAATATACCTCTTGGTCGCCGCGGTCAGTTTTACCCAAATTTAATCCTTTCGCTATTCGAAAGGTATAGGCCACTTGGTCTCCAAACCTGGATTAAGGGTTCCAAGAAAATTATGGGGTTATTTAATTACTCTAATTATAATATCGGTTTGTGACCTGTCGAGAACTAAAATAAAAATATTTTTCATCAGTTAATTGTCTGCATTCTTACTGAAAAGATTCATTTTTTTATTTTAAAAGTGATTCTCATCTTATTCATTATTCCATATTTTTTTTTTTTTTTTTTTTTTTTTTTTTTTTTTTTTTTTTTTTTTTTTTTGATTTATTAGCGGAAATCTTAAGTGTTTTACATTTTCTAGGACATATTGTTTTCCTATTTCCCTGCTATAGGAGTTATCCTCCTTTTCAGGGTGGTCTGCCCTGATTACAAAAGTAACCTAGCTAGCTAATTCCTAATTTTGTGCGCGTGTGTGTGGGACCTGTGTGGCAGGTTTGTTCCCCAAGAATTTCGCCAATTTTGCTATTTCCAACCTCATAAAAGAAGTTTTGAGTTTGTGTTGCAATGGAGTCGATGTTATGTGTAAAAGGAAAAAGTTGTTAATTGTAAAAAAATATACATTTGGAAAAGACAAGGAAACAAAGTTAGGTGTATCATATAAGTGTACTCGTCGTGGGTGTAAAGCGACTATTGGAGTGGACGATTCGGAAACTGTCTTATTGAAATCTAAGAGTGAACACAATCATCCACCATCGGACCATTTAGATGTAAAAAAACTTCAAAACGGATTGAAAAGAAAGGCAACAGAAGATATTTGCGTTAAACCCAGTAAGTTAATTAATAACGGAATGCGAGGGGAAGGAAATACTTTTAATGTATCCACTACGGATGTTGACCTCATCAGACGAAGCATATACAGGGCAAGAAGAAGTATATTGCCACCTTTGCCAAAGTGTATCAGTGATGTTCATAGTGTACTGAAAGCAATACAATGTGTTACAAATAAGGGTGAACAATTTTTATTATTTAACAATGAAGATTCACAAATTATTTTATTTTCATGTGATTCAAATTTAAAATACTTGTGTTCTCGTGATAGTATTTATTGCGACGGCACATTTAATTATTGCCCTAAATTTTTTTTAGAATTTTTCACTATACATGCTGTTGATAACGGACACTACATACCATTGGCATTTTTTGTTTTACCAGATAAAAGAGCAAGTACCTATGCAACTGCATTTAAATTATTAAAAGATTACTGTTATAATAATTTAAATTTAGATTGGAAGCTGTGTAAAGTTATTTGCGATTTTGAGAAAGCCATACACACTGGTATTATACAGATTTGGCCTGATATCTTAATTATTGGATGTAGATTTCATTTAACCCAATCGTGGTTACGTAAGATACAAAATCTGGGTTTGATTTCCGAATATAAAAATGAAAATTCTGAAATCGGCAAATGGCTTCATTACACTTTCGGCATTTTATTTTTGGAAAGTACTGAAGTGGCAGAGTGTTTTTGTAAAGATTTAATTCCAATAATGCCATTTGACGAGAGATTAACTTCATATACTCTTTATATGATTAATACGTATACTAGCGATACGTCTGACTTCCCGCCTACAATGTGGGCATCGTGCACAAGTTCCACAGAACGCACAACAAATCCTTGTGAGTCTTTCCACAAACATTTTAATTCTGCTTTTTATTCGGCGCATCCCGATATATTCAAATTTGTTAATGTAATTCTCGATATTCAGTTAAATACTTATGTGAAATTAAACAGTACACATATACCTAACAAAATTAAAAACGCTAATTGCAAAAAACGGCATGCGTATGTAACGAACGTAATAGAACAATATAAAAATAAGATCCTTTCACGAACTCAATTTATCAAAGTAGTTTCTTATCATTACAAAAATTAATTGCAATTTGGGTTTCTTAAATAATTTTTATTTGGTATTTTGTGTATTTTGTACCTACTTTTTTTTATTATGTATAATTTTATATTGTTTTCTATTAATTATAAGTGTTTTTTTAATTTGGTTTTATTCTTTTCCTGACCCACATTCTGTACCATATCATATCAGTTAAAAATTTCTATTCACGTGGAAAATAATAAAAATCAGTTAAACTATTTTTTTCTTAAAAATATTATTTTCAATAAATCGAAATAGATACCTTTAATGATTGATAACTACGGCGACCAAGAGGCCTACCTGATTTTAAAACTGGAGACCAAGTGGTCGATGAGATTACGGAACCCCGCTGACAAAACTAACCGCGGCGACCAAGTGGCCAACACCCATTACAACAGAGTATCGTGCTATTACAATTGTTTAACAAATGATCTCCTGAGCATTTTGGACAACTCATTTTATCACTTAAGCAGTTAGATTGACGATTATTGAAACCACTACACTTAAACGTACTTTAATACCAGTTGCATCAAACACATTACATGAATCATAATTAACAAACAACCGATCACGATCCATAATACGTCCAAAAGTAAGAGCATCCACTAAAATGAGGGCTTGAAAGACATCTGGATTATTATTGGTAGGCCATACTTTTAAAACTTTCAACTGGTTATCCTCCGAGAAAACATCATTTTGACCTTTAAGATGTGTTACAATATCATCTACTTCGTAGTTCTCCATCAAACCAACAATTCTAATTTTTGTTTCAATTTTTTTTGCCTCGGAAATTTTATACTGAGAAGATAGCTTTTGTTTAGTCATATTTCTAAAATTATTGGCATTCTCCTGATTTTTGCATCCAATCAAAATGCCTCCATCCTTAATTTGTTTCACATGAGATACCTGTATATTAAGATGAAGAGGATCTATATTTTTCACGATATCTGATTTATTTTGCGTATTTGATTGATTAGTAGCAACGGGCTTAATGACCACCATAAATTTACTGCCGATAATTTGCGAATAAGATGGTTTTTCAGTAGCTACGTTAGTAGTTTCACGAAATGTTTCAATTTTTTTTTTTTTTTCAGTCATTTCAAGAATTTCTGACTTTAATTCACCAAACACATTATTAAATCCATGAATCATTAGAGACATCTTCGGTTTAAACGAATTCTTTAAAATAGCATCATAATATTTTTCATTTTGAGATACTCTGTATAATACCAACAAAAACCTTTAAACACTGTAAAAACTCACTGGAAATTCCAAAACATTGATTATGATAGGATTTGCTGCAAAAACCTGCACACGATAAGTACGGCGTTTTGCGCCTATCGATAACTGATTTACATTGACCACAGGAGAACGACATAATATCATAATGTAAGCCTTATCTGCGATTAAAATGATAAAAATAATAAAATAATTGTTACCTAACGAGTTACCTCCGACCAAAAAAATCAGAATTTTTACCTTAGTTTTAGCGACTTAAGAAATCACTTCTGCACGAGCGTTAACAACTGTACTGTACTCTCTGACTGACAGTTTGTACATATCATTTTGACCACGAACTTATCATTACTCGAGCCATTACTTTATGATTGCTGCATTAAGGACCCAAAGATTTCATCCTAACCGTTTAAGCCACTGTAGTTAGCATACAAAGGGCTACACTAGATTGATCCTTTATTTTTTATTAAAACGGATTTATCTTGAGATCTCCGCATTTTATTGTGGTCTCCCATACAAGTAATAACAACAATCATTACTCTTAAACGACAGATATTAAAACAACTAAGTTAACTTGCTAAACCGGGTGACTATATGTGTAATGGTACCGAGTGAGCACCATTTATGACTTGCTCTTTGGAAATTTAAATTCGTTTATAATAATAAAATTACATTTACATGGTATGCTCTTTTTTTGGCATAATAAAGAAATCCACATTGTCTCTCGGAAGTCATGCACATTTTATGTGTTATAAGGACTACGATTGCTCGACACTCTCATTTATTAGAAGATTTACGTTCGGCGAGTGTCGGCTAACACCGGCCGATATAAGAGAAATATCTCTCGGCGACATTTAATCTGTAGGCTGGCTCACGAGCTAGGAGGTGCCTATCATCTAAGGAGGATGCTCAATGGGCCTACTGAGGTCTAAGTGACGTGGAGTAACCCACCCTCCACACTTTACAGATACAAAAAAGGACTATGCCTAATGGTCATTGAGTACGTCGTATATATATGATGCCCCACCCTGTATATCAGGAATATGATAAACTGAAAAAGAAAATCTATAAAAAAAAATAAATGACGCAAAATAGGATACATTTATTTTTTAGTTTATCTTCGACTGCTGATGATACTGATATAATTTCAACGAGAAATAAAAGTTTGTGACTTATTCAAAACGAATGAAAAACAGTACTGATCAATATAATTTTATTCCCGTCTTTATCTACCACGAAGAGATAAAAACATTTTTATAGCCCAAAAGAAAACATATAAGAGCTCATTGATTTTCTATAAAAAGCAAGACCACACACACTCCCATTTTCTTTTGAGTTGAGTTCATTAACGATTAATGTCAATCAATTTTTGAAATTTCTTGATATTTCTCTGCCAAAGTAAAATTCATATTAAAATAAATAATTAATATTCTGTTTAATATTTCAAGTAGTTAATACATCTTTCGGCAAATACACATCGATTTTTTTTAATACGACATACCAGCCGAAACACTTTTTAAGGCGAAGACAAAAACAGAATAGATATGAAATTTCTGTAATTTGTATTTCAATGCCAAGATTTAAGGTTATAGGGAGTTTCGAAATCCTGTAAGTCTGAGGATAAACTACCGAAAGTGGTTTTGAAACGAAAGTAATTTAAAAAATATATTCTTGAACATTACATATAAACGAACTAAATTTGGTTATCATTTCAATTTATTTTATGCGTTATTATTCTTCATTGTTTAAATAATCGATATTTTTATATTAGCTGTTTTTTCGAATGTTTGAGAGTAGTATATTACATTACGAGTGACACAAGAGATGTACAATATTTACCTATGACCACAACATAATATTATTAAACAAATATAAAACCAGTAAATCTGGCTATAATCAAAATGTGGCTGGTTTTATATTCCTTTTTTTATATGCCTTATTGAATAATTTTTAAAGTGTTTTCGGATGGTGTTTTCTAATATTGTGATTCCATTACAAACACTTTCATACAATAATACTAAGCACAAAAAAATATAAAATAAAAATACAATAATATTCTTCATTAGTTTATTTTTTAAATACATCAAATAAGACGAACAAGAACTTTTTTATTATTATTTTTATTATGAACAATAGTCATATTTTTTAAATTTTCAAATATTTCTAACATATATTTCTGACATATTTAACAGCTGATGAAGAAAATAGATTCATATTTACACAAGAGTGGAAAGTACATTCAAATCCACACGCGTCTGATATAGAGTAGGGGAAAGTACTCTGAGACGGCATAGTCACTGAGATGGCATAGCGCCTATAATTTGTGAAAATCGAAAAGATATGGCAACACTGACGTTGCTGCACGTGAATAATGCATATGCTGCTGTACCGACGCTATTTTTAGTTCGTTTCTGTTCGCTAGCGAGTTGCCTCCTAGATGTTTTTAAAAACCGACGTTTGAAAGTTTTGTATTATAAATCTTTTTATAGGACACCAGGACACAATATAAGGTAGGTTTTAATTTATTTTGTACCTTTTGAGAATACTATTGAAACTACTCATGGTGGTTTACTGTTTGTTTAAAGTTTTAAATTTTGTAGGCTGTGTTTCGGTTTGCACGTGTATGTGGGTGAGATGGCATAGAAACTGGTTGTCTGAGATGGCCATAGTAAGCCATCTCACCGACTACCTCTATTTTATATTAGTCTGTTTATACCTTTTATCTAAAAATGTGTAAACTTAATTTCAGATATGGCTCCATATATTAGGAAATCTTCAATATAGTCGTGGGATGAAAACCAAATGAGGGAGACCATCGATGCTGTTCAAAGTAGTAAAATGTGCTGGTCATTGGCGTCCAAAACGTTTAATGTTACGTTTAGCACATTGCGGCGACGTGCTCAAAATGGAAATACAAAAGGATGTCTAGGTGGGCACAAGACGACATTTGAGGTCAATTTAGAAAAAGAAATAGAAAATCATTTACAAGATTTGGAAATTAGATTCTTTGGGATGACTTCGGTCGATGTTAGAAGGCTGGCGTATCAAATAGCCGTTAAGAAAAAACTTCCTCATAGATTTTCAACTGAATAGGAAATGGCTGGTAGAGGTTGGTTAAAATTATTTAGACAGCGAAATCCTACAATATCTCTTCGCATACCGGAAGCTACTTCAGCTGCAAGGGCCCGCGGTTTCAACCTCAAGTTTAAACATTTTTCGGTTACTTAACCGAAATAATGAAAAAATATAACTTTGAGCCACAGCAAATTTGGAACGTTGACGAATCAGGATTTAGTACGGTACCAACGCAACCTGCCAAGATTTTCGCTACTAAAGGTCGAAAACAGGTTGGTATTTTAACAAGTGCTGAGAGAGGTCATCACTTCACTTCAGTTTGCTGTGTAAACGCTCTTGGAACATACATTCCGCCCGTTTTTATATTTCCCAGAAAAAATATGAAATTAGATTTAATGGACCATGCTCCAACGGGTTCCGTTGGATTTGCCTTGGAAAAGGGATGGATGAATAGAGAAGTCTTTCTTAAATGGTTACAATATTTTGTCACACAGCAAAATTTCACCTCAAAACAAAGTTTTGTTGCTTTTGGATGGTTATTTTAGCAATAAAAACATAAAAGTTTTAACATTTGCAAAGCAGAATGGCATCGTAGTTTTTTACTTTCGGCCACATTGCACACACCGGCTTCAGCCGCTAGACGTTAGTTTCTTTGGACCTTTAAACACATTCTATAATCAAGAATTAAATATTTGGCTCAAAAGCCACCCAGGTAGAACGGTAGCTCACCAACAAGTTACAGGAATATTCAAAGAAGCGTATCTTCGAGCTGCAACAGTAAAAAATGGCCAAAGTGGTTTTTCGTCTGCTGGAATATTCCCACTTAATGAAAATATTTTTCCGGAGTGGATGTTTGCACATGCGGATGTAACTGATGTACTAGCACCAGTGATGCCAGAAGAGCTAAATATACTTTCAGTAACCGCCCAAGAACCTGATCCTTCGTCGTTTAAAGAGTCAGTGGCACCAAAAGAGCCAAATGGACTTTCAGTAACCGCCCAAGAACAACCTGGTCCTTCATCGTCCACGGACCTAAGCATATCCGAAATTTTTCCATTGCCAAAGGCAACTGTTGCAACCAGATCAAATCGAAAAAAAGGAAAATTTGGAGTTTTAATGCTACGCCGGACATTGAAGAACTGAAGTTAGAAGTGGCTTGTAAGAAAGCTCCAGTTTTAAGAGAATCTGCTACGTGGTCGGCCAAAAGAAAAGTCCGCATGCCATCATCTTCCGGGAGTAAAAAAGAAGAACCACAAGAAGAAGATCCGACCTGCATTTATTGCTTTGGACCATACACTATGATGTCACGAAGTAGATAATGGTGGCTACTTTGCCAAGTGTATCAAAAATGGTGCCACGCAGACTGTATTTGTCTACCCAGAAGTGCGAAAACTATAATTTGCGATATTTGTAAATAAAACACATGAATTTTAGGTGTATGCCATCTCAGCCATAGGGGGTAGACGAGATGGTTTTTGTAGGAGTATAAGTTTCATTTTTTTTACGTGTAATAAAGATGTTAATCCAGTTCTTGTGAAACAGTTTTTGTCATAAATAAAACATATTTTTTGCACACATTTTTGCTTTTTCTTATCTAAATAAAAAATAATTTTTATGAATAATTTTCAAAAAGTATGCCATCTCAGAGTACTTTCCCCTACTTTCCATAAAACTAGATAGTGCGATATGTCACTTTCCTCAGTGGTCGTAGGAAAATTCAAATTTTCATCTCTCTCACGTCCTCTGCTTTTGAGATCTTAGTAGATTCCCCATTTTTCATCCCCTTGAAACGAAATTTTCAAAAATCCCTTAATAGCGAGTATGTGTGCTAGGAAAACAATGTACCACCGAAATTTCAGTTTCCTGTTTAAATGGATTTAATAATCGTAACCTCATCTGTAATATTAT